GTTGCTCGACATACCTGCGTGGCCCGTGCGACGAAATAACTTCACGGGATTGGAAAAGTTTCAGTCACAGCAAATTATGCAAAAAATCTAGAAAAGATGTAAGCTTAAATCTCGGTTAACGTTTAAAGCGACATATCAATGACTGCAACCATCGTGTTGTATACAAACCTCGCAAACTTTAAAACACGTTCTCTAGTGATACCTGCGAAACTATTCAGTATAATTTGCGGTAAGATTTTCGCGGACAATCTGATCGATTTCTCTTTCATTGTGTGCTGAGACTGAAACTTTTCACCTGACGCAAATCTCCATCGCACGGCCCAGGGCATAGCGAGCAACTGAGCTATAAGTATTTGTCCGTGTTACAACACACGAAAGGACTCCAAAGCACACTTGGGCAGAAAAACACAAAGATTTTCTGGCACCAATCAGATGGCAGAACGACTGCGACCGTTTGGAACTAGTCTTGAAAGACAATGTCCCGTGGGGCTTTACATGCCCTAACTTGAAATCGAACCACAACCCCTGGGTCTCTGAGGATGAGTGTTACGTTGATTTCTGAGAACTCCTGAAATGCAGGTGGCTGACGCAAGTTTCTTATCAGTGACTACTTTTTTTTTCGAGATGAGTAGCGTTTGAATAACGAGATGCAGCCGTGAATTTAAGCGATGAAGTGCCCAAGCTGTGGAGACACACGTTTGCTACCTAATCACAAATTCTGCCCAGAATGTGGTTTTCGTTTGGCACACGATCAAAACATTCCATCGATGGAGCCAAAGAACGTACTAGCTGTTAGTAGTGAGAAACCGAAAGGTGAGATAGCAGCAAAAATACACAATGCAATTATAAGTAAGGGACGAGTTAATTAATAAAACGTGGTTCTATGGATGTAAATCCTGCTCAAAAATTGAATTGATACGTCATTTAAATTTCGTCTGCCGCCTGATGACGTAATTATCGAAGTGTCTTAAAGGGAGTGATTTGGTTGTTTGTGACAAAGTTTGCTTTAATATCAACGTGAAAAGTCTTAATCGTCTTTCTATACATAATTATATTGAGATTTGAAGTTATGATCATTATACTGATGGATTATTCCGGGCCCTTCACAAGTGAAAGAGCTCTCCAAGTGAAATACTTCCTCATGCGACGCATGATGTTAAAGCCACTCCTGAAAGCATCCTTCCGTAACAAGTTATGCAACTTTCGTTTCCAGTGCATACGTATTTTGACTTCCCTTTCAGATCAAATCATACTCAAATGGTAAGGTACTGATGCTTGCCGATTCATTAGTGAAATTCATGTCAAGGGAAAAAGGAATTTGCGAACTCTTAATTAACTTGATGTCTTAAATTACTTTGCACTCATGATTTTTTCGACACTTAGGGGCTGACCATTTAACTTTTGAGGGGGGTGGGTGATTTTGAAAAAAATTTCCTGTAAGTGCTTGTTGGAAGAAAAAAATTAAATGCAGCCCAAATGTAACAGAAAAATGTACCAAAAAATCGGAAAAAATATCTTGCACAGCAGATTGCTAGAAAAAAAATTTCTTGATGACCAGAAATCACCCACCCCCCCTCAAAAGTTAAATGGTCGGCCCCTTATTAACGTCGTTTGACCGATCCAAATTTTTGTGCAGTCAGAAAAAATCTGTCACTAGTGGTTGTGAGTTTTTTCAACTGTAGAGACTACGTATCCGCAAATAGAAAGATTTAATTATTACAGTTTAACCTTGATATTTACTTAACACTTAATACCCATTGGAATGTCAGCGGTCAATAACATATTCTTGTTTTGCACTTTGAATCATAACCATAAATACAGTTCGTTTTGTGAAATGTCTTGAATTTTCTTTCTATATCTAATTATATTGCGATTTGGAGTCATGATCATGATACTGATGGATTATAAATGTGGGCTCTTCAAAAGGGAAAGTGCTCTCCAAGTGAAATATTTCCTCATGTGATGCATGATTTTAAAGCCACTCCTGGAAGCATCCTTCTGTAACAAGTTATGCAATTTTCATATCTATTGCATATGTATTTCGACTTCTTTTTCAGATCAAATTGTACTCAGATGGTAGTGTACTGATGTTTGCATATTCATTAGTGAAATTTGTGTCAAGGAAACAAGGAATTTGCGAACTGTGAACTTTGTCTCAAATTACTTTGCAGTCATGATTTTTTTGGTTCTTTCCTCGTGTACCAGTTCACAAGAGCCGATACAAAAGACCAAACAATACACAACAGCTACAAAATGACTCCTAAACAAAGAAAGAACAATGGCAATTCCCTTGTGAACCGGTACACCAGGACAGAACTGTTTTTTCGACACTTAGCGTTGTTCGACTGATCTAAATTTTTGTGCATTCGGAAAAAAATCTGTCATGAGTGGTTGTGAGCTATCTGAATTGTAGAGACCACATGTTAGCAAATACAAAAAGATTTGTTATCTTTATTGGATTCCAGTTCAACCTTGATTACTTTCCACTTAGTACCCATTGGATTGACAGCTGTCAACAAGACCTGTTTGTTAATTAAGCACTTTGAATCATCGTCACAAATACACTGACTGTTTTCTGTTTGCCTCTCTTAGTCCTTTTTTCTCCTTTATTGTGGGTTTTAATTCAGTCAGCTATGGCCATTTGAGTCATCTCATACACCGAATGCAAATATGGCGGATCACTCAGATGGCCCGGAACTAGTAGCGTGGAAGCGAGGCCAGTAATCATTTCGCGATGCCTTCGTCCTGCTGTGAACCCAAATGCAATCAGAAAAGTCACAGTTACACATCGTCATACGGACGCACTTCATTCGGCAGCGGGCATTTCGTCTTTCAGAATACCTGTTTATGCAGGGTGTCTGTAAGAGGTGTGGCGTTTAATCTATTAACAAAAGGCTTCCCAGGTTTCCTAATTGTGTGAAGTGATGAGGATAAAAGCTAGGAATTAAAAATGTAATTCATGTGTTTAATCTGACCTTCTCTTCACCCATGTATTTGAAGCATAATAACATTGAGATACGTAAAGAAGCAAAAACAAAAAAAATGCCAATGGGTCATAAAAATACATCTGACTGGGGCAGTTGATTTGGAAAATGCAGTAAGCTTAAATGGTTTTACCTCGTGCAGAACTCAAAACAGTGGGTTTTGTTCATGAAATGGATTTTTTTCATCTTCTGGTCAAAGATCTCATTACACAAAGGTAAAACCAAAATGGAGGAACCTAAGTAAGACTGAGAGTCTCCTGCCCCCAAAAACTGGACTGTATCAAACAGTGACAATCAGAGAGCTAGCAAGCTCAAAATATATATATATCTTATTAGACATTTTGTTGTGTAGTATCGCTGAGTATTTTTACGAGTTGTGCCGTATATTGACGAGCCCGTAGGGCGAGTCAAAAGACAAATAACGAGTAAAAATACTCAGCAATACTACACAACCAAATGTCTAATAAGTTATTTATTATCCAACACGCCAAACTGTTATTTCAGTGCGGGCGAATTTCGCGGATATTTATTTACGGGGAGTGCGTGACAGAAATATGCGAAGCGAAACGGAATTGGTGCATTGTTGTGTCGCTGTTTCTATTTTCTTCATTAAATGAAGAAATTTTCTGGTCGCCAAGCTGTTTTTCTTCGTTCGATTCATTTAATGAACTTGGGCCAGCTTACAGTATTTTGCGAAACCAGCTCTTCGAAGACTCTATTGATATATGACTTATTTCTTCCGATTCTTAAACACTATTCGTAGATACATCTCGATGCAGTGATGATTTGTAAATAAAGAGTTTGAGCCAAAGGGTCAGAAGTGCGCTGTTTCACAAATTACAGTTATGTAAATCTGTAATTTGCGAAACGAGCTCTTTGAAGACTCTAACGATGTGTAACTTATGTCTTCTGATTCTCTAACACTTTTCATAGATACAACTCGATGCAGTGATGATTTGTAAATAAAGAGTTTGAGCCAAAAGTTCAGAAGTACGCCGTTTCGCAAATTACAGATATGTAAATCTGTAATTTGCGAAACGAGCTCTTTGAAGACTCTAACGATNNNNACTGTAACCATATTCAAACCTGAATTTCAAAACTGGTGACATGTTGCAAGAATAGGAATGGTGAAAAGGTGGCTCATATAATTGATAGGAAAGGATAAAATAATAATACCCACCATTTCAGAAGAATGCAATGTAAATAGGAATTTCAGTTTTCTACAAATTTATTGTTAGATGGTCACTTTTCTCTAGAAAGATATTTCTGCATGTTTTCCACCTTGTTTCCTATTTCATTCATTTGTAATGCATTTTTCTTCTTCCTTCTCATTATTTCCCTTTATCCAAAGAATGATTTTCAGTTATTTCTTTAATATATATATATCTCTTATTAGACGTTTTGTTGTGTAGTAATGCTGAGTATTTTTACGAGTTGTGTCGTACTTTGACTCGCCCTATGGGCTCGTCAAAATACAAATAACAAGTAAAAATACTCAGCGATACTACACAACAAAACATCTGATAAGTTATTTATTATCCAACACGCCAAACTGTTGTTTCTAAGGGAGAATTTCGTGGATATTTATATACAGGAGTGCGTGACAGAAGTATGCAAAGCGGAACGGAATTGGTGCATTGTTGTGTTGCTGTTTCTATTTTCTTCATTAAATGAAGAAATTTTCTGGTCGCCAAGCTGTTTTTCTTCGTTCGATTCATTTAATGAACTTGGGCCAGCTTACAGTATTTTGCGAAACCAGCTCTTCGAAGACTCTATTGATATATGACTTATTTCTTCCGATTCTTAAACACTATTCGTAGATACATCTCGATGCAGTGATGATTTGTAAATAAAGAGTTTGAGCCAAAGGGTCAGAAGTGCGCTGTTTCACAAATTACAGTTATGTAAATCTGTAATTTGCGAAACGAGCTCTTTGAAGACTCTAACGATGTGTAACTTATGTCTTCTGATTCTCTAACACTTTTCATAGATACAACTCGATGCAGTGATGATTTGTAAATAAAGAGTTTGAGCCAAAAGTTCAGAAGTACGCCGTTTCGCAAATTACAGATATGTAAATCTGTAATTTGCGAAACGAGCTCTTTGAAGACTCTAACGATATGTAACTTATTTTTCCGATTCTACAACACTTTTCGTAGATACAACTCGATGCAGTGATGATTTGTATAGAATGGGCTTCGTTGCCCTACCCAACAGTCATTTTACTGAAAAGAAAGGACTGCTTGTAGTCTAAGTGGTTGAGTGAGGGTCAAAAGGAAGGGAAAAGCAAGGGTGGGGGCAAGTCTTCTCCCCTTCCCCCCTCCACCCCTATCTTTCACACTTGTTCTAAATTAAACTTGGCCGGTTGAATAAATGACTGTGAGCTTGTAACTTCAACTTGCCCTTCTAAGATGACAGCACCACAGATTACTTAGGGTGGGATGTGAACCCTATTTACTATTGGTTTTCTAACAATGAAGGGTAGCCAAGATTAATTTTTTTCCAATTTTTTTTTTAAACTTTTTAGATGGTTTGACCTCTAAAACTTACAATGGTCACTCCAAGTTGGTTGCTTGATATCAAAACTGATTGCTTTGATAAGAGCTCAATAATTAATGCCCTTTGGGAACCTTTTGATACCATAACTTTACATTCTGCTCTTTTTGTCATAAATTTTGCTGACAAGCTAGACAACACTGATTGTTTTTTTACTTATTTCGTCGTTAAGGCTCAGAAGTAAGCTAAAATTTGCCAACCTTAAGGCGTGCCCTCTAGAGTATTTGAAAAATTTAGAAAGAGTCTTATAAAGCCTAATTTAGGGGCAATTAGTGTCAAATCCTTGTCTGGAATCTATAGAATGTTAGGAATAATCTTCTTAACCCTAATTAACTCCCACAATCTGTTTGTTAATTCTCCCCTCTAGCTGCTACACATTTTCCCTGAAAACTGGTTATGAGAAGTTGGTGCTCAATAAAGGTACCAACTTTTTGAGATACATTTAAGTATTCTCATTACCTGTTTGCTGGACAATGTATGGATATTATAGGGAGATGTTACACGGTTAAATCACTTCTGGAAGTTATAGGTTTAAAAGCATAAACAACGCATAAGTTACGCATAATGGCAGGATTGACGTCAATCCCCACAGTTGCAAAAGCAATTATTGTAAATTTTTATCCATTAAATGTATATTTTAATTTACGAAGTTCTTGTTAGTTTGCCTTGAAGACTTAAAAGTTTTTTTACTATGTTTATAAATGTTAATTTATGTAAATTTGTGGCATGTTTCCAGATGTACTTGGAGGTAAACCGCACCCAAGATTTGTTGCGAAAAAATTGGGGAAAATGGTCCAGCTTACATAATGGCAGTGTTTACAGTGCATTCTACAAAACTTTCGGGTGTTTATGGTTTTCTTAGTTTCACAGCAGTGGAAGATAAGAGTCTACATGTACTTGTTCAAGATTGCTTAATATGAAGCTATGACTTTTAAGTTTGAAACTAGCTGGTTTCCTATTTTAGTTAAGTGATCAATTCTCTAGGAAAATAGTTGCTGATGCGTCAGTTCCCTTTGATATGGGAAACCCAGCCATATTCATGCTAAAATTAGGTAGTCCTTTGTAAATATAGCCAGAAAATACCTTTCTTAAAAAGGTGGCTGAAACTAGTCAAAAGTGCTCATTTGGAAAAGGAACAGTTTCTGTTTATTAGGTGAATTAGCCAGTACTGAAGTAATGCAAATGACACTTAGCTTGAACAAGTCTTTTCTGATAGGAGCCTTCACTTTCAAATGTTGATGTGAAGTGACCTTTAATCTGCTAGTTATAGTTATAGTGTTAGTCATCCTTGAAGTGGTTGTTAGATGTTGCCTCATCACTTTTACTATGAATATTTTAATTTCGGTTCTAATTGTATTATTTAAACCACCATGATTATTGTAATGATGCAAAAAGCTGGGAAGTGATATGCTTCCAACATTTTTCAGAAAGTCTGAACTTCAGTCATAATTATATTTGAAGCTGAAGAAGTTAAGTCTTGTTGAACCCTGTTAAGCAACCTCTTTCCTCACTTAATTTCTCAAGAGATGGTTGTCATTTTTTATCCTAGAAATTTTGTGAATTTTTTTGTTTTCAGATTTTGGTGAAGGACGTACTGCTTAAGACTAAGATTTTTCCAAGTCATGCTTGTGTTACACAGGTGTCTCAAAGTTCTGTTTTCTCATGATGATGATGAGATAAATTACATTTATGTTTAAGTCAGCAACCCTAAGCAATCAGATTGTTTATTTGAGGCCAACTGTTGGGATCATAACAAATCTAGCCATTGCAATTTTACTTTTTGGTGAATTCATTTTTCACATCCTTTCTTATGAAAAGAAAGGATGTGAAAACACCTTTTTGATCAAATCCCATTGATGATTACATGATTGTTCAACTTTTTACCTTCAGGTGAAAGTCTGCAACAGAATGGGACTGCTACAAAAAAAGATCAAAACAAGTTACCTTTCGATCAACAATTGGGGCCAATGCAGGCACCCGACGATGACCTCAGTGCTTCCCCTGTTCAACAGGAGGAAGCTGTAGCTGAAGAACGTTCAAGGCCATCATCAGAAAGTGCTCCTTGCTCAGACGGGACTCCAGCGACAACTGATCCAGATAACAAGGACTTCGGAAAGGCTGAAGAAATAGTAACTTCATTTGTGGAAGGGGCTTCTGCAGCAGATACCAACACACCTGACAGGGCTGAAACGGGTGAAAGACAAGGAGAGGACATTGCCTGGGAGGTAAAGCAGCTTAATTTAATTAACCTCAACATTCAACTTTACTTTGACTCAGTTTTATACTTTGAAAGTTTTAATTACTGTTTATGATGTATTAATGTGTGACTTGAGTGAAAAAGAACTTTACATTATCAATTGAGTTTAAGTGTATCAGGGAGTATTGGCATGTGCTTAGTGACATTTCATCAATGATGTCATAGTAGAGGGGTCAAACATTGAGTCATAGGCATGAAAGGTCTTCCATGCCTATTATGAGGTCTTTTAGAGAAGCTGAAGAGAGAGACATAGATCATAAAACATATTACAAAGAACTGCATTCTTCTATTGCTAGAGGAAAAAAAAAGAAATGACCTTTGATGTTTAGTGGGAGGCCCCCTCCCACTTACACGTGTAGCTACTGTCACTTCTTAACAACCAAGGAGAGTTGTATTTTACACTGTGTTTAAATAAACTTTAGCAAAAAGTGGAAAACAAAGGCGAAGGACAGGAGGATGAGGGAAGCACTTCTCAGCATCAATCCCCAATGTAAGTCTATTCTGAAAGGAATCCTCCTGAGATAAGTAGGTGAAGATATGAAAATACAGACATAAATATTAAGTTCACATTTTGATTTTCTCAAGTCAGTATTTTTGTACCTTATACTGTGCTCTCCTTCTAGGAAGGCTGTAGGCACTATGTTATGGTTTCATGTAAGTCCATAAACCAAGGCCCTCACGGTTTTTTTTTAAAGGGCAAACTATCGCAAGACATTGGTAACATTTCTTGTCACTCATCCTAGTTCAGTTCCAACACTGGCTTCCTTTGAAGTAAGCTGATCGGGTTTCTTCAGATTCGGTTTCATTTTCTTCATTTTCGGTTTTTTCAGCATCTAGTTACTGAGTTTCTCATATGTTTTAATACTGACAAACTTTTTTCTCAAAAATGGAGGTCATTTGGACCCTATTAGGTGGAAATTAGCCATGTGCTTGATAGCCACATGCTTGTGCTTCTCGCCGTAGTTAAGCCCTGTTGGTTGTGGTTACTACTTGGACCGTTCATAATGTACCGAGTTGCTGACTTTTTCGTTTCTGTATTTTTCGATTTCATTCCTGTAATTTTAGGAGTCACCATTATATTTATTAATTCTGCGTAAAACCAGAGTCAATGTACATAACGACCAATGCATCCCTTGTTAACGCTTCACAGGCGTCTTGTTAATGTTCGTAAAAAGTAAAATAGTTGTGAGAAGTGAAAGCCCCGTGAAGTTAAACCTTCTTACAATGACGACGTTTTTATATTCACATATCAAGATATACATGGTTCGTTAACGGTGCTCTGTGAGGACAACATGTCGAAACAGGATAAGTTTTGCTTTTTCATAAACAGCATTATCGTCTTAGTCGGCCAAATAAGCATTAGTTTATCTCAAAGACACGCTGTTATGCGTAGAAGAATTTTAGGTGACAGTAGCAGAGATTTGATTAAAAGTTTTTATAACGAGCAATGTCAGTTTTATTTTCTCTAATCTTGTTTTTTTCATCAGACTTCCCGCGGAAGGTGTCGAAAGCCTTAACGATACATGTACGTCGATGAAATCTACCACTGAGAAGATTTGCTTAAGCTGGCCTTTGGCTGTTCCTATGTCAACGCCTAGGCAGCAAAGCAATACTTTTACAAGGAGCGAAGACCTTAGCTCAAGCAATAGAGAAATTCAAGGTAAGTTTTTCGTAAGTTATTACACCACAGCAAATTTATTGCAAAAATAAGAACAAAGAACAGATGCGAAGATTTCTTAAAGTAACTGGGATTTTGATACGACTCTCAGTTATTAAGATACGACCAGTTCTCAACAAGATGTAACTGATTAACTGCCAAAGGCTACCTAAAAGTACTATTAAGTTTTTTAATAATAAGAGCACTTCTTTAAAGCAGTCACGACACTCTGCCTCAAAGTTAAATATACAGAAACATAACTGAGGATTATTTCAAAATGGAGACCGCAATAAGAAACCTATGTGGTGATGCTCTATTATATATTCAAAATCTTTAATTTGGAAGTGAGAGTGGAATGTTGTTTTTCCAAATTATCAACTTGACTAAAAACAGATTAGGATAAACGGTAGAACAGAGTTCAATATTTTAAGAGCGACATTATTGCCTTATTTATTTTTGTACTACTTTACTACAAATCTAATTTTCGACGGATATGTCATCTATTTTTTTCGCGCCCCGCCATGTGTTGCACGTACTCGAATTTTGCTCGCAATATTTTGTTATNTCTACTTTTCATAGGGGCAATTCTCGAACGAAGCTCAAAAATCAGATATTGCATAATTTGGCGATGTTTCCATGTAATGTTCTCAACATCAAACGTCTCAGGCAAATGAAACGTGCAAAGCTTGGAAAGAGTGTTATCTTATGAGCAATATCCCGAAGAGAAATCTCGCCTCTGGTTGTCATCTTTCATAAAAGATTGATCAGCATTCAAGGAGGGCTACTCGACGTAAATGATACATTTACCTCAAATCGTGTGTATATCTACCAGTTTCTGAGTGCTGCACCTTCTTTCACGGGAATTTGAGCGATCCTAAATTTTCCGAAGATACATTGTTGTACTTGTATGTCATTAGAAACATGTTAAAGCCGGCTGATCTACACGAAACTATCCATCACCGGTTATTTGTCATAAACGTGTACATTATCACGATGGCGTGACGCTGTGTTTCTCCATGAAGTTACCATCGGTCGCTCTGAATAAGACGAGAAATGGACATTTTTGGATATTTCAGCAGATCTCCGCGCATTCTGAAGTGAAAACAACCAAAAGAGGAAAACTATGATAGAACGCTCTTAAACACTGAGAATCTGAGGGCATAAATCGCAACTTTTCAGTGGTAGTACTTCATGTAAAATCCAGTTGCAACAGTTAATAGCAATTTGTACGACTCGCGCGAAAACCATAGTAAAGTGGAGATTTTGAGCAACTCAGTAATCCTGCAGTACAACGAATGAAACAGGGATTTAATCGCGATCAATTTCCAAAAATTTAGCTTTTTTCAGGGATTCTCTTACGTGCCCGAACATTATCTTGACTTTGAGCCTTGCGATTTAATTCCCTTGATAATCAATTGCTGTAGTAAGTGCCTACAAAATTACAAAGGTTCCCATTTTGGTTTCGCTTTGACCGTGGAATACAGATTTGAAATAATTAATGCTCACTGATGAACCAACGGGCACATTCTTCTCAGTTATTAGCTTGATAATCTCCACAGATAAACGTTATTGGACCGAACGATCTCCTATTTCTTCCTGGTTAGCCTGCAACCTCAGGGGGAAATAAAGAGACCTTTGACTTCCTCTCTTGTAAATCTCGTGTAAATATAGCGAACACGTACGTGCTAAGTTGATTAAGGTGAATAAGTGTCTGTTTGTAGTAAGATCTTTACGGAAGGAAGGTTTTAGTCAAGGTGAAGTAGACCACCTATTTAGCACTTTAGTTTTACCGAATTTCACGTATGCTCTGCCTGTTTATCGCGCTGTCGACTCAGATCTCACGGTCATACAAAAATTTCTGGATGGATGCTTTAAAAGGAAATACACATCTAAGAAAATGGACATTCGAGAACTTTTAGAAAAGGCAGATAAGAGGATTTCAAGTTACATTCAGGGGATCCCGATTGCCCTCTTAGTAACATCATTCCGAAGAAGAAAGAAACAAAGTACCAACTCAGAAACAACACTGCTCTTCGCCCGGATATAAAGAATGACAGATTTAAGAAAGGTTTTGTAAATAGGCTTATTTTGAAATATAATCTTTGATCTTTCTATCATTTGTATGTAGTATGTGTTATGTATTTTTATATTTCTATTACTTGTATACGATATGTCTTATGTATTTTTAGACTCCTAACTGCTGATGTAACTTAAGATATGTCTTTTTATCTTAGGAGGAATAAAGATTGATTGATTGATTGATTGATTGATTGAAATCACCAGGAGATTGCTTTATATTCATCTTTGTTTAAGCTTGTAAAAGATGTCTGGGAGAAAATTGTGGAAAATAATCGTGATGAAATCGCTGTTCTTTTACCTGAAGGACCTGAAGAAATCGAGATTACATATTTACTATAGGGAGTTTCGTTCCGTTGACGAGCTGCGATTTGCGTGTGGATAATGAGTAGTTTGAAAGGTGGAATTATGACTTTATGATTTCATTAAATCATTTATTTCGAACTTTGTTATGATTTTTTCTTTATCAAGACATGGAAGGAAACATTGATTGACTCGATTGCAGTGCGGCAGGGAAGTCTCTCCTCATCATATCTTATGCAAATTTACTAACAGTTTTCAGATGATTCAAAATATCTAAGGTCCTGTCACTAGGAAATAACTACTGCCCAATATGTCCTTTGTAAGGAGATGCCTGTGTCGAACAATTTGCTATTGTAGCAACTGGGATGATAAAAGCACATATGATGAGTTACTATTGCGTATTAAAATTGAGCGAAATTAGCGGAAAATAGTAACGGCTGACATTAAAATCGAGGAACTTTGTTTTCGTCAAAGGTATTTTCCTAATTCCAGAGGTTTTGAGAAGAAAATTAATGTTCGAAAATTTTAGGTTGTATACCAAGGTTTTGGAGGTTGTTCTGTAAAAGAAAAGCGGCAAGGAAAACGACGTCTCGAAGAAACAGAATAGGAAATCAACCCTGCGAACTACGCAAAATCCGTTTCCGCAGCAAAACCTAGCGCATGCGAATACGTTATTCAGTTCTGTCCCAACTGGGTTTTATATGTAGTAATGACGCTTACAAGCTGCGATTTATGTTCTTAGATCCTCAGTGTTTACGAGCAATCGAAGTTTTCCTCTCCTTTTTTTATTTTTTGGTTGCTTTTATTTCAGAATGCGCGGAGATCTGCTGAAATATCCAAAAATGACATACTAATGCCATACAAGTATAACAGTGTATCTTCGGGAAGATTTCACATCGCTCAAATTCCCGTGAAAGAAGGTGTAGCGTTTACGGCGACCAAAATCTAAATTCTCAAATTCAAGGGCGTGTCGCTCCAAAACGCGGTTAACGAGGTGTTTGGGACTATTTTACTGATCGAAATGACAACCCAAAGTTGACTGTTTGCACGAATCTTTATTCTGGAAAGGCAATCGACCACGAACCACAATCAATGACGAAAATAACGATTATTCTGACTGTCAATCAATCTATCGAACGATCGATCGTAAACTGAAACAACAATACAACGAAGTTCTATCAATCTAACGAAAAGCCGCGGAATACATGATCAAAGAATCGCATGTTATATACTGGGCTCTAAAGTNTGATGACTGATGAACAGCCCATTGTTCTATCTAAATGATGGGCGTTCACTGACTCGCAAATTGGCACGAATTTGGCCTTTAAATCTTAAATCTATAAAGATCATTGCAATATTTGTTTGTATATTGTCGCCCAACACTGAAAAGACTGGAAAGGAAAAAACAAAGTTACAAAGGTACTCACATATCGATCCCGCTTGTGCCAGAGGTTGAGAAAACGAAAGGGTGAAAGTTTACCAAGGGTATTCAAAACTTACGAAGAACTGATTAAAGGGACGCTAAATTTGCCTTTTATATGCGCGTGGTGACGCTGAAAGGTCCGATTACAAAACCAATAGAAATACGGAAAAACAGATAAGCATTGTAACTATGTGGCTATCGAAGGTCATTGTGAAATTAGTGAACTAATCAATAATCAATAAAAAAATGAGCCTTCTGGCTAATGTCCTTAACAGAAGGTGCAGCACTCAGAATCTGAAAGATATGCACACGATTTGAGGTATATGTTTGGATTTACGTCGAGTAGCCCTCCTTGAATGCTCATCAATCTTTTATGAAAGATGACAACCAGAGGCGAGGTATCTCTTCGGGATATTGCTCAGCTCATAAGATAACACTCTTTCCAAGCCTTGCACGTTTCATTTGCCTGAGACGTTTGTTGTTGAGAACATTACATGGAAACATCGCCAAATTATGCAATATCTAATTTTTTTTGAGCTTCGTTCGCAAATAGCCCCTATGAAAAGTAGAGGCCGGCCCGCAGAGATTTTTACATATTTAAAAACTAAAATATTATAACCAACCAGGTGGGTTGTCTCAGTTCCAGAATCGGTGTACTTTTGGAGAGATTCAGATAAACGCTTTTCCTGTTTTACCCTACATAAAAAGTGACCGAAACTGTACCGAGATAAATAAACTATTGGTGTGTTCACTTTCACTCCCAGGAAAAGGTGAATGCATCATATTGAAGACAAATGATGTCGTTATATATGGTAGAATTACCAATTTGTAATGTTGTATTTAGCTTGAGATAGAGTAATAAACATTTTACTCTTTTTTTGAGATATTTTTGTTTGAAAATGGGGCCCCAGGTCTCGAACAAGCAGTGGTTATTACCATGGCAACAAGAGTGCTGCAACCTTTAAATTGGGCATTTTTGTGTATTTTCTCTGTGTGCCTAACTGCATGCAAATTTTGAAGAGGGGTTGAAAATTTTCATTTCCCAAGATGTTTGATTCTTACAGACTTGTTCTTAAAAGACATCTCCTGGAAGGTAGCGACCGATGAAATAACATCTTTGCTTCAATAGCATCTCCAATTTCCACATCAGTGTTAAAGAAAATGTCTCATGTTGGAGGTAGTTCTACAATAGTTTTAGAGAACACACTTCGACCAGCATTAACCGCTAGTAGTTCGTTTGCTTGATTTGAAGGGTGCCCTCTAGCTTTTTTCACACAAGGAAAATCTTGTTCACGATGAGATGTTCACAAAAAAATATGAAATGTTAACCGTATCCTGTGAGATGTCTAAAAGACACTTCGTAGAAATAAGTGACTGATGAAATAGAATATTTACTTCGTCTTATCTGCAATTTTTCCTCATGAGATTAGGATTCGAAGGAGACATACCAACAATTGTCTACAGAGCTTTTAACAGGTTAGAGTTCAAAAGTTCTCTCTTCACGGCAGAGATACCAAACAGCTTACTTAGCTATGGGGTCTGTCGTAAACTCAAGTTCTTCTAGATATTTTTTTCTGATATAGTATGTATATAGAGAATGTGATGGGGTCTTAGAAATATAAAAAGATACTGAGTCACTGACTTGGTTTTTGAGATCTTTGAAAACCTGAGGTTTAGAGGGTCTTTCAGCACCGCTTTACTGTTGCCATGGAAACAGACGAGGCGTACCGAACACCCTTAGGAATTTCCTACAATAGTGTATTCAGATTTTAAAAGATTGGCCTGATGATAAGATCGACAGTCCTGATATCTTTTAATATCAGGTACTTAAGTGCCATCAACTGCGGAAAACTCTTGCAAGCCTTCGTGGGAGTTTGTCACGCGATGGGAGATATGTGAAAAATCCTCTGAGTTTTTTACTCATATTTAATTGTATGGTCAGATTTTGAATTGCAAGAAAAATTTCATAAGAACTCGGAGAAATTTTGTTGCGTTTTCATTAAGGCGAAAACCAGCTCCAGAAGGTGAACAGTATGGTTCAAATAAACTCCTCGTCTATCCAACCAACGGATTCGATACAGTCTCCTAACAAGGACCTCGATGCAGATCCTAACCTTCAGGTCGAATCGCTAAGTGAAGGCAAAATTGGGTCATTTGAAAATAACCAGGTCCCTGAATGTGAAACAATTTCCCCTGACCAAGGCCAGGAACATACCAGTGGCTCAGTTGATACTTTAAGTGAACAAAACTCTGCTGGAGCAGTGAGAAGTCCCGTTGTTCATGTGGAAAGCGGACATACTCCTCTTAATTTCTCTGGTGATCGAGTAGAAATAGAAATGAAAAATGGCGTAGGACTATCTACCGTACATGACATGGAAATTGGTACTAAACCAGAAGAAAGCGAAAGAAATGTCCGAGTAAGTAAAAGGCACAGTGTAGATTAGAACTTGCATATTGTTTCTTGGGAAGTTTCAATTTTCATATGTCAATTACATGTTCAACGATGGCTAGCTGAACTGAACTTAAAACGATTATAGTTTAACAATAGAATATTTTCTTTTCAACTTAATACTGACTTAAATGTGACTCAATATTCGGAAATAGATCCCTGATTACCATCGCAAATATAGAAAAAGGTTCTGCACTATCTATGAAAAGCCTTCTCTAATACGATCAGGAAGTAAGTGTACTAGTTTTGATAGGTGTAGTTTAACGTGGTATAGTGTACTACGTGTAGTTTGGTGTGGCAGGTGTAGTTTATTATAGCGTTTTGTGGTAGGTGTAGTAGGTTAAGTTCAGTTTTGTAGGTGTACTTTGGTGAAGTAGGTAAAGCAGGTGTAATAGATGTAGTTTGGTGTAGTAGATGTAGTTGGGTGTAGTAGGTACAATTTGGTGTATTTTGGTGAAGAAGATGTTGTGGGTGTAGTTAGGCGTAGTAGGTATAATTTGGTGTAGTTTGGTAAAGAAGGTGTAGTGGGTGTAGTGTGGTGTAGTGTGGTGTAGGTTGGTGAAGTTTGGTGAAGTTTGGTGAAGTTTTGTGTAGAAGGTGTAGTTTTGTGTAGTTCTGTGTAGTGGGTGTAGTTTGGTGTAGTAGGCACAATATAGTGAAGTTAATGTAGCTTGGTTTTAAGGGCGTAGCCAGGGGGGTTCCTGGGGTGCCCGTGACCCCCCCTTGGTAGGCCTTCTTTTGAACAAACAATCTACAATATTCAGGTGGTGAAAACGCCATGAAAATATCTTGGCCTGCCCAGTATACTCTCACTGCTCATCCCAAAACTGTAACATTAAGCAAAACATGCACGGCGTGGAGGTCGACATGACAATCTGGTGAGTAGCCTCTGTGACCTCCCCCCCTTTGAAAAATCCTGGCTACGCCTCTGGGTTTAATAGGTTTAGTTTGTTGGGGTTTAGTAAAGAAGGTGAAGTAGGTGTGGTGTATTTTGGCGTAGTTTGGTGTAGTATGTAGAATTTAGTGTACAGGGTTTAGCTCGTTGTAGCTTAATGAAGTAGGTGTAGTCTGGTATTGGTCTGTTTAATGGTAATAGTAGGTGTAGCTTGGTATAATTTGATGTACGTAGTTGATATAGTTTGGTGTAGTTTGATATACGTAGTTGGTAAAGTTCAGTATAGTTTGCTGTAGTTTGATGTACGTAGTTGGTTTAGTTTGGTGCAGCCTGGTGTAGTTTGATGTTCGTAGTTACAGTTTGGTGTAGTTCAGTGTAGTTTGGTGTAGTTTGATGTACGTAGTTGGTTTAGTTTGGTGCAGCCTGGTGTAGTTTGATGTTCGTAGTTACAGTTTGGTGTAGTTCAGTGTAGTTTGGTGTAGTTTGATGTACGTAGTTGGTATAATTTTGTATAGTAGGTGGAGTTTGGTGTAGCATGTACAGTGTGGTGTAGTTTAGTGTAGAAGGTGTAGTTCGGTGTGGCTTAGTGGAGAAGGTATAGTTTGGTGTAGTTTATTGAAGTAAGTGTTATTTGGTGTAATAGGTTGAGTTTGGTGGGGTTTAGTGTAGAAGGTGTGGTAGGTGTGGTGTTTTGTAGTTTGGTTCAGTAGGTAAAGTTTTGGTGTAGTTTAGTGTAGTTTGGTGTAGCATTACACCATACTACACCAAACTACACCTTCCACACCTAGTTCACATATGTCTCGATTGTATTAAAGAATAAGTGTAAGTTTTTCGTAGAGTAGAACCTTGTTCCATATTTGCGACGGTTATAATGGACATTCTTGTAGTGACAAGAATCAAGAGGTCCAGTCACGAGAGTGGCTGCAGGGAGAGAGTCGCATCATAAGTCCGATGTGTCACCCGATGGAAAAGCTCAACGCGTCTCTCAGTTAGGAGACGAGTTAAAGGAGCCTTTTATCCGAGAGGTATATTTTGTAAGAAGAAAGAGAAAGAAACGTCTAGTCTCCGAGGAGGGTCTCGTAACAACTGTGGAGGTAGAAGTGAGGTTCTGAGATTGGAACGACGAAGGGCCTAGAACTGTGAAGAGAGCTCTGAGTCATTCCTCTACTTCTTCCCGGTTGCTTCCTAATTTTACTACTCCTGGGAGGGTGAGAAACATTTTTAACTGTTCGCTCATAAATCCTTTGTTTTCGTTATCAGATGAATTTGAGAGAAGGTGGAAATGGGTATCAGGAAACTGGAAACCAACGATTGAAAAGTAAAGGAAAACTGTGTAAAGAAGAGCATCGAAACACAGACGAAAGTGAGGATGAAAGCACCACAGCACAAAGACCTTTATTGTAAGTTGGGTCGAAAAATTTCAAAGAGAAAGAGCAATTAATAGCGATTTAAACTTTCTCGTAGATGAGCTTTAGCAGAGTTTAAGAGCCTAGAAATGTTGATATGCATGAACGGCGGCAGAAATTGGCCACGAAGTTATTGCGCACATTCTAGAGCAGTCTGTGTCACTGGAACGTGTGAGCAAACAAATTTTTTGCTATCGCTGAAGTCCTGGTTTTATTATTGTTTTTTTTCGTTGTCACTAAAACACCCTCCGTAAGATCGTGAGAAAGATGTACTATCTTTGCTACTTAGAATTTGATATTCCTATAGACATGCGTACTCAGTTTGCTGATTTGTTTGCAGACAAGAGCGTATTTTAACCCTAAAACAAGTTGCACCAGAAGCTGGCGTTACCGTGGTCTTCTATGTTCTGCTCGCATCAAATTTTAAAATGACTGATGAGAGACTCTTTATACGAGCAGCTGGGAATGATTTGGGTGACTTTCAAGAGAACTGTGTCGACATGTTTCTAGTGGAGTGAGTAATTTGTTTAAAACGAATTTTTATTTCCTAATGTTATCTCATGTATCCATCGAGATGCAGTTTTGAATAGAATGATCCATACTCTAGTAGGCTTTATGAGAAGCTTTAATAAAGAGAGAAATATCTTAGTTTCAGGAGAGATCTTTAATATTTCAGGAAAACCTAGTATCGCCTAAGTCTTATTTTACCCCACAGGTTTTCTGTAGGAATCAACTGTTTAAGGGTTTTGTTTCGCAAGAAAGTTTTCAATTTTTTTGCTGAGCTGGCTGGTTGTCGATGGACTTTAGAGAATAATCCAGACAACAAGGTTCATCTTAAGCGCAATCTCTTCATGTTACTTCTTGATTAGTTGTCGAGGTTCTTGTGAAAGATGCATTAAGATAGTCAATTTCATTCATGTAAAATGCTTGAGGTTCTGTACGAGTCTGATCTGTGCGCAACTTGTCAAACATTTGAACCGGAATACTGTTTGTATTGTCTTTCACCTGCATTGAACGAGGAATAATATTTAGAGTTGCAAACTAGTTGTATTTTTGGAGCGATTTTTTGTAAATGAAGGGGTCTAAAATGGCCTTATCTCTTATCATAGTGCTTCTATTCTGTGGAATCTTTATGGAGCGGTCAACCTGTATTAAACGATCACCCTGTCATTCTTCGTCGGTGACCGTTTAATAGAGCTATGATTGTCCTTTGTTGTGTTAAGGGTTCAGTGCATAATTAACTCAAACGAAGTAAACGTGGAGCTGATTAGTAGAAGGTCGTTATAACCTGACTGTGCGTACGTCTGTAAAGTAGTATCGAGGAAGCAAGGTACTTTTGGAAAAACGATTACCTTTGATTAATAATATTGGGAATATAGAAAAAATCTAAAAGATCTACTTGTAGAAGTACTTATGCCATGTTCTTAGAACAGAATTCAAGCCGAACTTGACAGTTAATTATTTTAATAATCCTCTTTCACATTTCTGAAGGCTTTGTAACAAATCATTTCACCCCTCGAACAATAATCGCTATTAACCGAGTCATTTTTCTGTTGGTTTTGTGTTTTTTGCTGTAATGTTAAAAAGACGTTCTTTGTCCCTCTTGATTGGTTCTCTGAAGTTTCGTGTCAAAATGATTACATACAGCAGCTCCTTCAACCAAAGAAATGCCTTGACTTTCTTCTTTATACGCGAGAAATACTGGAAAAAGTCCGGCTGGTATTTCCTAACGTAGATGGTAAAGGAGATCAGAAAGAGAGAGGAGATTATGTCTAGCGACATGTGTCCCAGGCTCTAAGCACCTAGGGCCTAGGCTTCAGGATGGAAATTTATTCTTTCTATCACCTAAAGGCTACGGAAGTATTCAGTCTTTTTATGTACAGTGAAAATTGCACGAGGAAATAAAAATAAGCGATGTACAAAAGGGTGAGCATATTAACAAGTGAGAATGCCTAACATGTTCCTGTGGTTCGATTACGAACTATCTGATATTTAAGCGAAATAGTTTGGAGATTTTAAGTTATTACAACTGATGGTTTAAATAATAGGAATTGATAGATTTTCTAGGTTAATTTAATTTGCAACATTTCGCATTTATTCGCTACGGATTGATGAGTTCTAAGAAAAGTCAGTGACTTTTTGTTTGCATGGAATAAATCCTCGAGAGGACAAACAATGTAACGCCACTGAAACAGGCAATCACTAACCATTGAAAAGACCCTGATTAGATTGTGGTTTGACTTCACTTCACAGTGATTTGCTTGTTTTATCTCTCTCCAGCATCTTCTGGAGCAAGGACAGAGAAAGACTTATGCTTTTTCGCGGGGAGTTCACTTTATCTCTCGATCGAACTCGTAGAGGCGTTTCCTACAAATACGTGGTGGTCAAAAAGGGAAATCTTCATTGGGAACAATTACCAGAATTTTCCTACTATGGTAGTATTGTCAACAGGGTCGTACTAATTCCTGAAAACTGTATTGAACCAGGCGGTAGGTACCCATTTGCCTCTTCTTTATTAGTGGAACATTAAAGAATCAGTTCATGCTTAGCGGGCGTATTCCAAGTTATAGCTGCACGCGGGAAGTTTGGAGAGCACCAGTGGGGGAGTACAAGAGTTGCTCAAGGCGCAGCCCTAAGCACCTCAGGGTTGTTGAATGCGCTCCAAATTTCTCAATAACTCGAAATACGCACAGCCAAAAGCAGGGACCAATTCTTTTATAACATAGCATTCAGACTCGAGTTGTTCTCCAGTAAGAGTACTCAGTGTACTTTAAAGAAATGGACATAATTTTGTCCTCAAAGAAAGTTAATCAAATCGTCAACCACCGAGAGGGGAAGTCTTACTTTCAAGCCAAGGGCTCACCTGCAGTGCTACCAACTCTGCTAAAAGTGCACTTTCTTCTTATGTCTCTCTCGATGATGGCTCTATGGTTTGAGAAAACCCTGTGGTTTTTCGCCCGTTAAAAGGTGTTTTTCATCTCAGACCACCCGATCCCAATTACACAGACGTTTGGGAAGTCCAAGTGGTTTTGACCTACCTTACTATTATTTATCCTGTCGACTCATTGACAGTTACAATTCACACCAAAACTTGTTGTGTTGTACCGTAATATCATACGGTTGTGGGTAGTGAATAATACACATTTGTCATTCCAAACCATCTCGGACAAAGTAAGATAAATAAAGGTGGTAAGTTTCTAAAGAGACCGTGGTGTTGCGTTGGTGGGGGAGTATAACAAGGTAATTTTTGTTTTATCAACTGAGTCGTGGACTGAGTCGGTACTGTAAAGTGGGCCCCGCAAAGATTTTAGAAGCTGACGTTTCGAGCTTTAGTCCTTCGTCAGAGCGAATGGAAGAATTGTGGGTAGTGTATGTGATTCTATGCAGAAGATGCAGCTACAGTCAAAAAAAAGAAGCGAAAAACGTGGGAATTTCTTGCGTTTATGAGACACGTTTGGTTGATTTACCATACTTGAATTGTTGTTACTATAATTTATGACTATAAATTTGCGAGGCTTCGTGTGAACAATTCTAAATTGTACGATTTAAAACAAAATCTTCTATTGAACAACACTTTAGGGACGCATTAATACTTCAAAATTAATACTTAAGAATTGTCCCTTACGTCACGAAGCCGCATTTGAAGTCTATAAGATAAATTTCTTGTTTTCCAGTCATAATTCGAATCGCAGTTGGGAATTACGTATCGATAACTCCAAAGTTAATCTCATCGCTTGAAAGAGCTATATACTATTTTTTTTCCAATTCAGTATTGTTTCGCATGTATAATTTCCGTCTGAGCTCCAAAAGGTCTGTCTAAATCGTTATGGAACCGAAAACAATGTTGAAAGGTTTGAAACCTCGAGGCTAAACTCAACGGGAACTTCCAAATGCAGTGAAAATGCACACGTTATGTTATGAATGCACGACCATGCGTACATAGAGATTTTTACTAAATGACGCGATTTGAGTACAAATACCACACGATATATAACGGTTGTTTTGAAGGTTCTTATTTTGTACTGTCACAAAATCCTGTTTGACAGGTGGGCTATCCTTGTGTTGGAAATTTATCAAAGGAGACAAAGAAACTTTGGACTATTGCATTTTTCTTGGTTCACTGCCTTCTTCTGATTCTTCAAGTACTTGCAGCGATTCGTGCGAAGCGACAGTCGTTGCCATGTGATTGAGTAGGATGACAAAATTAAATATAGTTTTGAAGTTCTGTTAAATGAAGAAACTTTGCTTTGCTGGTGCTTTGATTTCCTCTTACGGCACAACTCGTAAAAATTACTAAGCTCTACTAAACACCAAAACTAATTAAAAGATATGTAACTTGATTGAAATGGAGTGCCTAATTCTGTCTTACAGTAACGTGGGAACAAGTTGACGGAGTAGCATACGTTTACGGAGACAAGAGCATGTTTTCCAAAGTAGTAGATTATTTATCCGGAAAGGATAACACAGCTGAATATCGAGCAAAGGCACTGCTGTGTTTCCGACCAAATTGGAAGGGTTTCCTTGTGGATGAAACCCCCGTGAGAATGGATGCCACAGAAGCGGTGAAGCGCCTTATTCATGTCGTGGATTGTCTTTCATATGTTTCGATAGAAGAACAAGGTTACTTTAAGAATAAAAGGCCTACCAATTTTAATGTCCAAAAGGTAATGTGCTTGAAGACAGTGTTGTTTTTATTGTTTCAAATATTACCTCTTAAGTGCGTGGGTGTAAATCATCCTATACACGAACAGTTTGTGCTTTGGACTTCAGAAAATTCAGGATTTGTTGCTTTTGGCATTCTATGAAAAATGATGATTGTCACTTTTCATAAGTCCCTTTCTATAGAGGAGCCTGCGGCCATGGTCATTCATTTCAGATGGCGGTATACGCTCGAAAAGCATAGTTAAACCGGGTTCTGTTGAGACCCCTTTGTCGATCCTCCCAGTGAATGTGAAAAACGTCCATGTCCATTTGTGGAACTGAATTGCGATGAATTAATTTGCAGGTGTTATGGGACCTTCTGAAACCCAAGATGGAGGACAACGTTTCCACCTTGGAAAAATTTCAAGATGGATCAAGTAACCACGTGTCTGCGGTAGTTTCATCTCTAGCTATCCTTCTTATGGTGGATAAGTATGCAATAAAGCTGAAAAGAGAGGAAATCAACACAATTCTTAGATGCCTAGCCCTACAAGCCGATGCAGCTGAACAAAAGTGTTCAGCTTATGAAGCAGTGCTCACTGAGTTTGACGCCGAGCTCAGACAGTAAGTGGCATTTGCAAAATATTGACGTAAGTCTTCGTTTGTCACAAAGGAAACTTGCCTTACTCGAATTTGCCATCTTTTAAAAAACTTTTGGAAACTCGATTTTTAAAAATTGTTTATTTCATTTTTAAATGATTGTACTTAAAATCTGCCGTCATTCTTGGTCATCCTTCAAAAAGAACACCATGGACGCTGTTGATCCAAGCTGCATGTGAGACGTGCGTCACATTTGCACGCCCGGTGTGAACATTGAGCATCTGTGTATTCGGAACTAAAGTTGTATGTTTCGCTTTCGACGTCAAACGCTGCTGTCTACACCCCTATGTGGCTTGTAACATTGTCCCCGTGATTTGGCTTAGGGTGTAGTCATCAGGGAAATGAGCGGGAATCGAGTGAAATTTCTAGTATGGGCGAACATTTAAGAGGAAATGTGGCCAAAAATCGAACATTTTCAAAGTATGGTGGCAACAGTCAAAAAATCGATTCGGCTCATATGCTCAAGTTAGGTAGACCTTATGGTGAAACAAAGCACTGCATACTTCATTTGGCTGAATATCAATTTATTGTCGAGAAAGTCGATAAAAGCTGAATTTCGCCCAAATGCCGCTTTTGAAGCTAAAAATTTCAGATGAATCTCGGAGCGTCGCGCCACGAATTGAAAACACTTGGACCGATAAAAACTACCAAATCTTGAAAAACAACGTCAATACATAATTTGACAGCAATTTCAGCAATTCTTGATCATTTATTAAAACAACGTAATTGAATTTATCCGACCTTCTTCTAACAAGATTAAAAATAGGTCAAAAGTAACCCGTTATTTAACTATGTGCTATACAAAACAATCGACTGAAAATCTGGCTTGTGGAAGGCAAAGTGTGGTTCTTTTTGATCTCCAAAGGATTTTTTGGGGAAATGATTCAGTGCGATTTAATCAAATTTTAAAGTTGGATAAAATGAGCTGATTTGACGATGCCGTCAGTTGTTCGAAAATGTAGTGTAAATACATACA